AAAGAAAGAAAGAAAGAAAGAAAGAAAGAAAGAAAGAAAGAAAGAAAGAAAGAAAGAAAGAAAGGAACCAGCCCCAGAGAAAGGAAGAGAACTACCACAGAACAGTGTCCCCAGTCTCCAGCCAATATAGCTGGCTCAGAAGGGTACCATGGTTGATGGTGTCAAAAGCCACTGAGAGGCTTTTGGATTACTACCTCTATTCTGGCTCTATCATAGGTCATCTACAAGTACAACCAAAGCTGTCTCAGCACTAAATCCTGGCCTGAAACCTGACTGAAATGGGTCTAGATATTCTTTCAGAGTTCTCACCACCTGCAGACTGACCACCTTCTCAACAACCTTTCCCAGAAACAGAAAATTGGACACTGGTCAATAGTTATAGAAAACCATTCAATCCAAGGATGGCCTCTTGAGAAAGGGGCACACCACAGCCTCTTTAAAGGCAGGAGGTTCCGCTCTCCTTCAGTGAGGCTGATACCAATATACTAATAAAGCAAAATATATATTGATATATTGTCATTGATGTATACCACAGCTAATGAAAGTTAAAGCCATTTTTCAAAGTTAAATCAGATCCAATCAGACTTGCTTCTCTCTGAATACTACATTATAAGAGGACTATATTCAAAAAATACTAATATCACAATTACACAGATTAAATGTATTTCAGTTGCAATAATAGAATTTCTTATTATTTCTACCTCTTAGTTTTATAATTTCAGAAAGATTCTAAGAAATTCTATAGTCTTCCTTTATCAAATGGGGTTGCTATAATCAAAGCTGCATTTCATGGTTTTAATTGGCCATTCTAATCATGTGGAATTGCAGGTGCTTTATCATCACCTCTCAGACTTCAAAGTAGGCTTTCACTATGATTTATTGTCCATCAGACCTTTCAGTGAACTAAAATTGCCTGCCAACTCCATCTTTCAGTTGATTAGAGAGAAGGCCAATAAGTTTCTTTTATGCAATCCTTCCAAGCAACCCTTTCTAATCCAGAGTTGGCTCAGTTCAGGCTTCATTTGATTCAGGTCCTAACAGGTCTTGCCATCCAGTATTCTTGATCCTTTGTTTATGGCAACTTTAAAATGTCAAATTGAGTTCAAACAAAGCTTAGGCTTCATTTGAACCACACCTCACCCAGCCCTATTTGCGTCCCATGCTCTTCATTTACAAGTGAGCAATGGTGCTTCAGTCATACACCTGAGTGCAAGGATGGGCAGCCAGCCCATTGGGATCAGCAGTGCCAACAATTTTGGAACCTTTTTTGTCTTGGGTTGGTGAGTGGGAGGATTTTAAAAGACCATACAGATGCCCTAAGCTTTCCAGAAGTTAAGGCTAACACTCCACTTCTTAACTCTTTCACACCAATTGTTCCTATTCTCCAGGACTTAAGACATCCATTTACCCTTAACCTTTCTAAGGCTAAAAAGGGGGCAAGAGGTTTAGGCCTACCCTTTCCAGTGATAATATTATATAATTAGGCATCAATCTTGCAATCCCCAAGCAGAGTGCAAAGGTTACACTATAATTATGCCGATTCTATGTTGATAGATTATCTAATAATTCTGATAATTTTTATTCTACTTTGATGTAGTATACATATTGCATGCTATGTTGTAACTCACTTAGCGTCATTTGATTGAAACCATTTATAATAAATAAACACATAAAATGCATGTCCACCCCCCAGCTGGAAAGAGTACCTTAGCCCTGGCTTAGTATATTATGTAAACTAGGATATTTCTGCTCCAACCTTCCTGGAGGATAAAACAAGAGCAAAGTCTTAATCAGCTCTCCTTTTTGTTTCCAGAATCTCCTTAATTTAAATCTAAAGCTGTTCTGCC